AACCTCATAACCTTCAGCCCGCCGAGTGGAGACAGGGGTAGAGAGGAGATGTTACTCTGGTGTGACAAGGTGAGGGGTTGTTGGGTGCAGACACACACACACACATATATATATATATATATATATATATATATATATATATATATATATATATATATATATATATATACAGTGCCCTTCACTAATGTTGGCACCCTTGGTTAATGTGAGCAAATGAAAATAAATCTGCATCGTTTATGATTTTGATCTTTCATTAAAAAAATTCACAAAATTCTAACCTATCATTGAAGTAAAACAATGGAAAGTGGGGGAAACTCACATTATGAAATAAATATTTTTCTCTAGATCACATTAGCCACAATTATTGGCACCCAATAATTGCACCATCCTTTTCCCAAGATAGCATCTCTGAGTTTTCTCCTATAATGCCTTGTGAGTTTGGAGAACACCTGACAAGAGATCAGAGACCATTCCTTCATCCAGAATCTCTCCAGATCCTTCAGATTCCCAGCTCCATGATGGTGCTTCTCCTCTTCAGTTCACCTCACTCATTTTCTATAGGGTTCAGCTCAGGGAACTGGGACGGCCATAGCAGAAACTTCATTTTGTACTTTTGTGATGGATGATTAAGGGAATTTGGCCTTTGTGTTCCTCATATTTACAATCCTGTGGAACATGCTCCTACTCACCCTGGTGTGCGAAAAGAAAGGTAAATATGAATGGGAGTATATTTCAGAGATATTTTACTCATAATATTTTCTAGGGGTGCCAATCATTTTTGCCATTTTTTCCATTGTTTTATTTCAATGAACGGTTAGAATTTTGTGAATGTTTTGAATGAATGATCAAAAAGATAAACGATGCAGATTTATTTTCACAGCCGCCTTTTCTTCATTTTTACCAAGGATGCCAATATTAGTGGAGACCACTGTATATGAAGATATGAAATATGAAGAATTTGAGTAAAATAATTTAAATACATAGCTTCATGTTTTAAAATTCTACCAGACAAATAATAATGTGTAAATAAATCACAATAATATTCAAATAATTATTTTTTTAATAAAATATTATGAAAAAATATTATTTTTATTTTTATAAAATAAATTTTCTCATATTATTTTACAAAGATTATATTTTTGATAAAATAATATGAAAAAATAACATATAAATAATATAACTGAAGAAAAAATATATTGAATATTGAAAATGAAAATATAGAAAATTTTGTTTTGATTTTCACATTTTTATTTGATTTCATTTAAAGTTTCTTTTTTAAATGCTTAATTTTTTAAGAAACAAAATTATGTTTAACAGCAAAAAAAATGATATAGCATTGTTTTAAATAATGCAGTGATTGATAGATTTTAACAAAAACAATCATGAAAACGGGGTTAAAAAAAGAATTATGAGAACCCTACAAAAGCATAAAATAAATAATACAAATTAACATAAAGTTACTAGATTTTTGTGTGTTTAGGGAAACTCCAGTAACAACCCATAGATAAAATCCATGGTCATTACTTACTCACATGTGACCCTGCAGCACAAAAGCAGTGTTAAGTCGCTGGGGTATATTTGTAGCAATAGCCAAAAATACATTGTATGGGTCAAAATTATCGATTTTTTTTAATGATCAATGGAAAGCTTATTTATTCAGCTTTCAAATGATTTATAAATCTCAATTTCGAAAAATTGACACTTAAGACTGGTTTTGTGGTCCAGGGTCACATATGTTAATGAGGAACGCAAAAGGACCCATTTGGTAGAATGGTTCTCATGGGCTCCGAGCTTTTTGATGTAATCCGTCCCGTCCCATCCTGGAGTCAATGCACCAGCTGTCTTCAGGTGTGAAATAGACTTCAGACGAGCTCCTGTGATAAAGCAGGGTCAGTGTTCACCATATACATGTCCTATAAACTTCATTGCATGCTTCACCTGTGCTGTCCATTACTGCGGTGGGGGAAAAAACAAACAAGAAATGCTTTATGATCAATTACCTGTGGTGTCTCTGCTTCACCTGATGAAGTAATCCTTCAGATCTGCTATCAAAGAAGGGATCTAGTTCATATATCTCCAGGTACGGACCCGTCTTTACCCCCTCAGCAGGGGTGATCGGGTCCAAACTATCAGACTTTACAGTCCCAGACAACAGGGTTTCCAGTTTCACGAATGCCTTTGAGAGATCCTATTCCTTATTCAGCATGTCATTTTTAAAAGTTTGTTGTAAAAACCCTTTTGTATCTAAGGAACCATAATAATTCTCAGAGAAAAGGCGATTTATGGGTTTACGCGGTTCGCTCTGATTCTAGGTCAGTATTTCGCTGTAGTAATCAACATCCCGCTATGATTCATCACGGCTCTTCATCCGAGGCCAGAAGTTTCTCAAGAGCAATATTCATCCATCCATCCATCCTGCCGAAATGTATTTGATTTCTTGTTATTTAGGACTGTGCTTTTGGGATTCTGTCATTTTTATTAGCATCAAACTCAAAGCCCAGAATACTGAGAAAAGCCTCTTGCAAAAACACATCAATATTCGTCATGACAGGAGGAACAGACTCTAAATGTAGATGGCCTAGAAGACAAAATCTGCTGAGATTTGTGCTAAAGGTTTAGAAGGAAAATAAGAAGGTATAAAACATGTTTTTTTGAAGCACAAAGCTGAAATGTCAACACTGGCATGTAAATAAAGACCCTCGGGGGCCGTTTGAGAAGGAAATGTTCAAGCTTTCTGTACCCATACATCAGATGGATGTCTCTGGCCATTGCATTGTGTCTTGTGCCATGAACAGGGTTATTACAGTTAACTAAAACTACAACCATAAAAAAAACTACCTTTCGTTATTTGAATTAAAATAAACACAATAAACTGATATATATATATATACTTTATTTTGGCTAGTTACCAAATAAATATTTTTATTTAGTTTAACTTGTACTAAAATTGAAGTAAAATAAACTTCAAATGAAATCAAATAAAATGAAAGCAAAATATAAAAAAATTAACTTTTGTACATTTTATTTCAGGGTTTCCCAAAATGCGGGAATTTTTGAGTTCATGAAAAGTTCAAAATGATTAAATTGTTCATTAAAATGTAAATTAATAAAACATAATAAAAACAAAATTTTTATTTGTTTAGTTCCATGTCATATGATTATAAACTGAGAACTGTGAGCATCCAATTGTGTTGTTAAATTATTAAAATATCAGGGGGCTTCAAGCAATTATATACTTAATGTTTATAATATATATAATTTATAACATTTGAGGTCAAACGGGTTAAGCTTACAAAAAAGTTTGTGAATCTCAGACATAAAACATCAAAAACGGTCTTTAAAGCCAACATATTTATAGCTATTTCCCTGAATAACATCTCCAGAAGGAAATTCTAGCACGCCCTGAGTAACCTGTAAATGCAAATATAAGAGCAGACATCTGTATTGAACCAAAGACTTTAGCAAATGCTTTAGATCAGGGGTGTCAAACTCAGTTCGTGGAGGGCCGAAGCCCTGTAGAGTTTAGTTTCAACCCTAATTAAACACACCTGATCCAACTAATCAAGTCCTTCAGGCTTATTTGAAAACTACATGGTATGTGTGTTGGAACAAAAAGCTGCAGGGCTCCGGCGCTCCAGGAATTGAGTCTGACACCCCTGTTTCAGATATACAAAGAATCAAAATGTATGAGACAGTTGCTGTCAGATTTCATTGGTGATGTCAAATATGAAATGTAATTTCCCCATTCAAAGAAATAAAAGCTGTTACTTGCATGACTGAAATAGCTGCTCTAGAGGCGCGTTATGCTGAGTGAAATGATTGGTCATACAGGGATTTTGATCATTTGTAGTAGTTGGCTGAGCATTTTTGCACCTACATTTCTATTCGGGGTTCAGTGTTAAAGTCTGGCCTAAAATGCATAATCTTATATTCACAAAGCTACGTTATGAGACTCCACTCTTCATCTTCTGGCCCATTATTTTGATTTAAAAATGTAAAGTAGCTAATATACCAAACACAATAAAAGGACATAATATAAGGTCTTTTGAATCAAGTTTTACTGCAAGACTTCGGTTTATAACTCGTCGACTATTGCACAGTCATGTCCTGTCTAAGCAGGCGCATGTGGGACAGTCTCGGCTCGTTTGGAGAGAGGACAAAAGCCTCTTTCACCCCGTGCAAGCGCTCAGCTCCGTTAGTGATGCATTCCTACGAGGTCAAATTCCTCGGAGAGACCTGGACAGAGAAAGGCTACTGATGTCATAATGAGCCCACAGAACCTACGACTGCATGGCTGAGAGCGGGATCAGGCCCTTCATGTTATAAGGATATCTTCAAATGTTGGATTTTAGGCTTTTACCGATGAGGACCGGAGCCATAATGTGCTCTTTTATGTCGTGCCTCTTACATAATGTAATATGACAGGGATAGAGGCACAGAAAGGGCGAACAATCTGTCTATACGGCAACTGAAGCAACTCTAACAAGCCAAAAGACTATCCTGAAGTCCTGTGTTTATCAGTGTCATGAGATACTGTTTGGAGAATTGGCAACACTGAAAATGCAAAGTTTCCACAAAAATATGAAGCAGCACAACTGTATCAACGTTGGTAATAATCAGAAATGTTTCTTGAGCAGCAAATCAGCATATTAGAATGATTTCTGGAGGATTGTGTGACACTGAAGACTGGAGGAATGATGCTGAAAATTCAGCTTTGATTACATGCAATAAATTACATGCAAAAATATATTCAAAGAGAAAATGGGTATTTTAAATTGTAATAATGTTTCACATTTTTTACTGTATTTTTGAGCAAATAAATGCAGCCTAGCGGAACATAAGAGACTTAATATTAAAAAACCTTAATTATTCCAAACATTTGACCAGTAGTGTATGTATAGAGAGAGAAGATGTAATCCAGAGCCACAGAAATAAGGCTGCAGTCCATGTTTAAGGCACATTCATTCTGATAGGAACTATTCCATAATATTTCTAACTAATGTCATGTCATATTTTTCACGGGACGGCATGAGAACTGCGGAGTGAGAAGAAACACGGGTCCAAGGCAGTGTCAGTGATTTCCTCCTCTCTGCAAAATCTTCTCCAGAAGTTTCTGCAAAAAATTAAAAAGCCTTTGGTCAGTTTTATTCCAAACGTCCATCATTTGTGGTCAGCAAGAGTTGGACTCACCAAATGTTTTTGTTGAAACACATCATAATTAATACTAGATGTCTGGGTGATTCTTTAATCCCATAGCGTGTTTTAAAGAAAAAAAAAGGCTGCATAAAAACCTATCATTGTAGTTTTAAGAAAGAGATCGAAAGTAGCTTTAAACATGTTGAAAGGTTCAGTTTTCAGAATTTTCTCTATGGTTCGTTCCCCACCAAGATTTTCCTTTCTGTAACATATTGACAAAATGTGTTAAAGGAATAGTTTACCCAAAAAAGAAAATCTGCTGAAACTTTACTCACCCTCAGGCCGTCCAAGATGTAGATGAGTTTGTTTCTTCATCAGATTTGGAGAAATGTAGCATTCCATCACTTGCTCACCAGTGGATCCTCTGCAGTGAATGGGTGCCGTCAGAATGAGAGTCCAAACAGCTGATAAAAACATCACAATAATCCACACCACTCCAGTCCATCAGTTAACATCATGTGAAGAGAAAAACTGTGTTTGTAAGAAACAAATCCATCAAAACAATTTTAACTTCAAACCACTGCTTCCAGCTGAAATGAGTCCATAATAACGCTTTCTCCATTGTAAATGTCATCTAATCTGAATCAGGAGAGAAATCTGCACCGATCAAGCACTGTTTACAAGCCAAAACAGATCTAAACAAATATGTGGGTGGATTTTG